TTCGAGAGTACCCCCTGGAGTCATTTTCCCCTTCCTTACACTGTGGAAAGTCTCTAAAGAGTGACCAGCAGGCTCAGGGAACATTGCAGAAGAGAGGCAGACGGGATGTAGGAGCTGTAGAGTGGGGAGGGTGCTGTGGAATGCTGTCTTTTGGACGTGGCATGGATGCGGCACTCATAAACCCGCAGTAACTAAGGTTACCTGCACAGGATGATGCCAACAAGATCTGTGGGTCCAATCAATGCAATAGACAGCACTAACTGAACTCAGTGGGTTTAAAAACAACGGGGCTGGAGAGATGGCTCGACAGTTAAGAGCAGTGGCCACGTTTCTGGAGACCCAGTTTTGAGTCCTAGCACCCACGTGGTGGTTCACAGCCATCTGTAAGTCCAGTTCCAGGTGACCTGACTCCTTTTTCTGGCCTCTTAGGGCTCGTGGCATGAATGTGCTGCACATACATAGATGCAGGCAATACAATATATACATACAAAACAAAACAAAACTAAACTAAACAGGAGAGGATATGAAGGCCGAAGTGCACACACTGGGACTGAAGGGGAGTCTGGAATGGGGGGTTGTGGGTGGACAGGATAAGAGGCATCGTATACATTTATGAAATTGTCAAAGAATAAATAAAAGACTCAAAAGAAAAAAATAGTCAACATTGGCCAGACATGGCACACACATGCAGTCTCAGGAATCAGACGATTAAGGGAAAAAGAGCAGAAATTCCAGGCAAGCCTGGTATCTTAGCTTGTTTTCTGCCACCGCGATAAACAGCATGACCAAAAGCAACTCGAGGAGGAAACGATTTATTTCAGCTTATAGTTGCGGTTCACGGTCAAGAGCAGTTAAGTCAGGAACCCGAGGCAGGAAATCGGAGGTTGGAACTGAAGCAGAGACCATGGAAGAGTGTTGCTTACTGACCTTCCCCCCTGGGCTTGCTCAGCTACCTGTCTTAGACAACTCAGAATTACTTGCTCAGGGGTGATACTGCCCACTGTGGGCTGGGCCCTCCTACATAAATCATCAATCAGAAAAATGCCCCCACGGATTTGCCCACAGGCCAGCCTAATGGAGACAAACCCTGAACTGACATTCCCTCTTCCAGGATAACTCTAGCTTTTGGCGAGCTGGCAAAAAGCCAACCAGCACAACCCGTTTACATAGGGAGACACTGTCTCAAAAACCACAGGAAAGAGTGACCGGTGTCTTTCCTGCATCTCTTCACCACCCAGTCTTCCTTAATTCCCAGGCACCTGGCAACTACTCTTGAAGGTCCCCTGTGAATCCTTTTGTCTGTGCCCTCTCTGGCATGGAGCCAACCCCTACATCACTGACTTTTCCTCTCTGTTTCCCTGTGGGAAATTTTTTCTTCCTCATTCCCACATGTGATCCTTCCTAACAGGACAATAGTTTTTTATTAGGGATAAGCATTTGTGACACAGCCAAAAGATCCGATGCCTGAGGAGCCACACTGTTGAGAGAGCCCAGGATACGGCAAGTAACAGCCCCATAATCCATCTTGGGCTCCTCCTGCTGGGTTTGCCTCTTCTGTTTTACATTCTTTTTCTTTCTTTCTTCTGCAAGATCGGGTTTCTCTGTGTGTAGCCCTTACTGTCCTGGAACTCACTCTGTAGACCAAGCTGGCCTGCTATGTCTGCCTCTGCCTCCCAAGTGCTGGGATTAAAGGTGTGCCCTGCCATCACCCGGCTCTGCTTTATAGTCTTAGAAATATCATTTTTAAAACATTTTTGAAATTTTTGTATTTATTATTTTCATGTGTGTGTGTTTTACCTGCATGTATGTTTGTGCCCCACATGTATGTATGCCTACGGAGGCTAGAGGAGAGCCTCAGGTGCTGGGGGACTGGAGTTACAGAGGGTTGTAAGATGTCATGTGGGTGCTGACAATTGAACTTGAGTCCTCTGGAAGATCAGCCAGTGCTCTTAGCCACTGAGCCATCTCTCCGGCCTCAGTAAACACTACTTTGACCAACCTGGACCATCGACTTATTTTAAATTTTATATTATTCATGTGTGTATGCATATATGTGTATTCCCATATGTGTGGACATATGGATGTTAAAGATTGACGGAATGTCTTCCTTGATCACTCTACACCTTACTTTTGGGGGCAGGATCTCTCACTGATTCCAGAGCTTACCATCCTGGCTAATCTAGCTAGTGGCCTTGCTTCTGGGATCCCTTGTCTCTGCCTCCTGAATTGCAGGCAATCACCGTGACCTCTTAGCTTTGTAAGTAGGTTCTAGGCATTTGAATTCTGGATCTCATGCTTGCATGGCAAGCACTTTATGCATCAAACCATCTGCCTAACCTGTTCTTCATCTTTACTAGTTGAGTGTGCTTGCTGGTCAGTTTGATATTCTATCCACTATATTTTCTACATCAGTGCCAAGACAGGACGTTAACTCAGCAGTGCAATGTTACTTTAAAAACAAACTCCCTGAAATGTCTGACCTTGAAGGATGTACAAATTATTTCTATTATATGTTTCTCCTGTCCTGGAACTCACTCTGTAGACCAGGCTGGACTCAAGCTCACAGAGATCCGTCTGCCTCTGCCTCCTGAGTGCTGGGACTAAAGGCGTGCACCAACCCACCCGGCCTGTTTTAAAATTAATTTTTAAAAATCACATTTATTTATCTATTTGCAAGTGGGGGGGTCTATGTGCCACGGTCAAGTTCTGAGAGCAGATTGCAGGAGTCAGACTGCCCTCCATCATGTGGGTGCCAGGGATCCAGCTCATGCCTCGGGCTTGGCGGCAAGTGCCTTCATCTGCTGAGCTTTCACTGATAAAACCATTTTTAGTGTTACCATTGTAGTCCATCATGAGGGGGAGTCAATTTGGGTTTTCGTTCCTTGATAAAAATCATTCTTAGTAATAACCTCTGCTAGCATATAATAGTTTGTGATACCTCATGATTTGGTAATTAAAGTATCACAAGAAAAAAATTCATTTTCTCTAATGAGTTACAATAAAAACAATTTGGGAAAATTGAATACTTGATTGAAATTTACCTTATAGGTGTGTAAAAGGGTGGGAGGAAACTAGAGTAAGCTTAAACTATTGTGTCCTTAATTTGGACCCTTTAGGATTAAAAACAGAGCACCTGAGAAGAAAAAAAAAGGAAGTGGGGGGATATAGATGGGAAGTCACAGGCCTGATTTAGGACTGCTTTGAAGCCTTAGGACTGGTATTGAGGCATCAAGGATTGGTTTGGGTTTTTTAATTAAGTGAATCTTTTTTACCTTTTGTTTTCTTTGAGACAGGATCACTCTGTAACCCATGCTAGCCTGTCCAAGCCTCTTAACTGCTGGATTTACAAGCATAGGCTACCATGCCTCCCAAAGGAATCTTAAAAAATATGGGATCTTATACTAATCAGTTTGATTTTAAAAAAAGAAATTAAATAAGGGTTTGTGTGTGCTTCCGGCAAAGCCCCCTCACCTCCCAGGCATTCCTTACCCCAGAGTGTGAAGAGATTTCGTGGAAAATAAAGCTGTATTTTGGAGGTTGTCAGAAGTGACGATTGTCCTCTATTCTACAGGTGCTTCACTGTCTCACCTTCCCAGGACCTCGAATCCTTGACTACGAGGGGTGTGGTAGGATGGAGCGGAATAAGGAGGGAGCGGAGTGGGAAGGAGGAAGCAGGAAACAAATAACGGACAGGGCCAGACTGTCTTGTGTGTGTCTGAAAGGCCCCCCCTACACTGGAAGGCAGCCTGCGACAGGTATTTGAGCCCATCTGTGGCCTCACCGTGATGGGTGCTTGTGCTTTCTGGTAGAAGCTGTGCTTTTCTAGACACTGTGGTAAGTAATGCTTCGTGTGTGTGTGTGTGTGTGTGTGTGTGTGTGTGTGTAAGTGTGTGTGATGGTATGGGTGTGTGGAGGTCATAGGACAACTTCAAATGTCATTCATCAGGCGCCATCCATCTTTTTGAGCCAGGGTCTCTCTGTCTTAGAACTCACCTGGAAAGCTAGGCAGAATGACCAGGGAGGTCTGATTGATCTACCTGCCTGTCTCTGCTTCCCCAGCTCTTGAGTTACAAGTGCACATCAAATTCCCATGTCTGACTTAAAAATATTCATTTATTTTGTGCATGTGTGGGAGCCAGCATGAGGTATATGCACTAAAGGAGCACTGATTTTTTTTTTTTTAATGTGAGTTCTGAAGCTAGAACTCAGGTCCTCATTCTTGTAAGGCAAGCAGTTTATCACCTGAGCAAATCTCCCCATCCCCCCTCAAAAATATCCTAAATGGTGGAAATTCCCAGCGATTCCTCTGCCTTAGGATTGAATCCAATACGCATTTACAGCCTGTGCAGCAGGTGATACGGAAACAGAAGCCATCCCACGAAAGGCACAATGTTAGGTCAGATCGCTATGGGACAGGACTCAAGGCCAGGACCCTCTTGGTCACCACGTTCTTTTTACACATGTCTAATTAATGTGTGATAGGCTGTAATGACCAGGAGAAGGGCAGACTCCTCTCCCCTTCTCCTCCATCTTCATCTTCTCCATTTCTCCTTGGAGATAAAGCATAGTTTCTAGCACTTGGCAGACATTCAATAAACACTGTTAGCTGAATGAATGCTATATTCATTAGCTCTCTCTCTCTCTCTCTCTCTCTCTCTCTGTGTGTGTGTGTGTGTGTGTGTGTGTGTGTGTGTGTGTGTGTGTGTGTGTGTGTGTGTGTGTTGGGAGAGTTTACTTTGCAGGCGAGGAAATTGCAGTACACCCAAGACCACACACAAATGACTTCAGGATCGAGGATTCCAAGGTCAGACCTATCTAAGTGGCTGCACAGCCTACGTTCTTCCCAGCTTTCCCTGAATTGGGGGGCTGCAAGGGCTAGGGAGCCGCTAGACAGGAGCACCTGCACTGGGTAAGCTCGTGCCTCTACGTAAGAGCTCCGAACCAGACGCGGCGAGGCGAGCAAAGGTGGAATCCCCCACTCCGCTTAAATCCCACCCACGGAGAGGAAGCAAAATTGTGAGTGGATCCTGCTGAGAATCCAGCACCGATGGGAAGGAAGACAGAGAGAGCTAGGATTCTCTGGGAGCTCGGCAGAGGTAGGAGGGCTGGGAGAAAAAGCAGCGTAGCTTAGCATTCTTTCTGGAGTCCTGTTTCTTGGACCGATATGTGCGAACCACGGTGATTCCCTCATAGACACTTGTCGCCTGGAGGGTTCCATCACCTGTGCAGGTGGGGCGACGGAAGGAGCTGTTTACCAGACCGTCATCTCACCCCTAACTTCTTCTTAGTTCGTGGTGGAGAGCACAGATAACTATTTTGGTGGGAACCAGGCTTGGTACATAAGGGATGCTAGGATTCTCGGGAGGGTGACAGATGACATTGCGACCTGGAAGACTGGGCTCTCTCATTCAAGCATCCTTCTCTACACCTACCTCTGCCACCAAGTCGACGCGCCCTACGACAGGACTGAGGTTCCTGAAAGCAAGTCCCCGCCCGCTGACTCCTTGCTGCGAACTGGGTGGGGACCCGCGGTGCCGCGGAAAGGCTATTTTGGGTGTGGGAGCGCGGAGGGAGGAGGGGCGCCGGCGGGCTGGGCGCGGGCGCGCGGGGAAAGCCTCC